ATTATATAATGGATTATTTATATATTTATTATTTGATTTATTGATGATCATTATGTATTTATTTATTGATTTATTTATTTTCCTTTTTTAATGTAACTTCCGTATACAATTTTTTTTTCTTCCTTTCTTTTTTCTATTTTCTTCTTCTTTATTTATTTATTTATTTATTTTTTTTAATTATTTCGAACGCGCAACGAGATGATATTTGATATATTATTTTTCATTTACTCATTCAATTTCTTTTCTCTCTTCGTTGAATTTTCTCATTTCTATTTTCTCTTCTTTTATTTTTCTTTTTTTTTCTTCTTCTTCTTCGTATTTTTTTTCTTTTTTTTTTTTTTTTTTTTTTTTTTTTTTTTTTTTTACTTTAAGAAAGTAAAAAATGAGTGTCCTCGCAACTTCCGAGTTCTCTCGAGCGCACGCGTCGACAGATAAAAGGCGAGAACGGTGTTCTCGAGGATGCACCAAAAAAGGAAACGAGAGAGATCCCGTCCTCGCGGGTCTCTCGTAATGGTTCTTACGAGAAGAGTCAGTCCATCGATGCGTTGCTTTTGCTGCTGCTGCTGTTGCTGTTGCTGTTGCTGTTGCTGTTAGGTCCCACCTTATTTTCTATCATACACTGTACGATGCAATCTACCAACCTACTCGACAGACAGACAGAGAAAGAGAGAGAGAGAAAGAGAGAGAGAGAGAGAGAGAGAGAGAGAGAGAGAGAGGGAGAGAGAGAGAGAGAGAGAGAAAGAAGTTTGCTTGGAAGTCGAGTCACTTAGCGTTTTACCTAGAAAGTGCATACATATGTCTACATGTCGTGTCTGGAAAATTTCTGAGTTTGACATATTTATTTATCATTAGATTTCAAGGTTTCATTTTTTTTTTTTTTTTTTTTTTTTTTTTTTTTTTTTTTTTTGTATTTTTGATCTTCTTAATCAACGACGATTGATTTCATCTCAAAGTTAGAACTTTGAATTCTATCGAATGATAAAATTGTCGATACAATTTTATTTCATTTTATTTTATTTTACACACACACACACGCACACACATATTAGGATATAAATCTAGAAAGTTCATTATCATCATAGTTCTCTTTCTATTCTTTCATATGTAAAATATAATACTTACGTATCTAAATTATTTCATAAATTTTGTTTCTAAAAAAAAAAAAATATATATATATATATATATGTATAAAATTATTTCGTATTTTTATCTTTATGAAAATAAAAATGAGTAAAAAAAGTTTAGAGAACATTGAAAGAGATGAAACCTCTTTCTCCATCTCTTTATCTCTCTCTATCTCTCTTTCTCTCTCTCTCTCTCTCTCTCTCTCTTTCTCTTTTTCTCTCTTTCTCTCTCTGGTACATTTCGATGCACTTTGTGTTTCCTTTCTTCGTTCTACATACCGGGTGTCCCTACGTAATATTTATCACCGCGATCTTTCTCTCTCTCTCTCTCTTTCTTTTTCTTTCTCTTTCTCCGACACGAACGGGTATTTTTCTGAACTATGCCACGTTATGTGGGCAGTGTCCATGGCCGGAATCCATATTAAGAACTTCTACCGTTACGCCGTTGATTATTACGAGAGTTTGCATTGTGTCTACCCTAAGAGACGCGAGACTGTCCATTAATTAAAGCGAAAGGACGCAAAGAAGGAGGGCGTATGGTGTTATCTATGGAAAAAATCATCTCTACTTCCCATTTTAAATATCCTCACATTACTTTCATGGATCGTTAAATCATTTTATTGATATACATTAACATAGTTTTTCTTACAATTTTTCTTTTTTTCGTTTCTCTTTCTTTTCTTTCATCCTTTTTCTTCCTTCTTTCTTTTTTTTTATTTTTTTATTTTTCTTTCTCTTACCTTCTATCGAATATTTTATCGTCGTCACTTTAAATGCAAGCTAATTTGATTTTTTTTTTTTGTTTGTGGACGCTTTTTTCTTTCTTTCTTTCTTTTTTCTCCGTCATGGACAATTTATCGAACTATTTTTCATTGCAAATTTATTTCATTGTAAAATATTTATTTTCTCTTTTATTTACGATTTTTTTCCTTGAAAAAGATTAAAATCGTCGGTGAACATTTTGAATAGGACAATTCACTAGTGAATGATTATCAAAGATTAGCAGCTCGAAACCTCTCTGCTCGATCGAGCGAATCCATTTTATGTACTCGTAATGCAATATGTATTCCATGTCTTCTTACGTACACGTACATACATACACACATACATACATACATACATACATACATACATACATACATACATTTATACATACATACATACACACATACATAAATACATAGACTCTGTTTAAGCTATGACCTGGCATCTTTTTATAGACAAGAAGCCACGCGTATATAAAAGCACCGCTGCTTGCGGCTTGGACGTGCGCACGTGCGTTGCATTCCGCGTGCGACGCTTAAACGCGCTTCTTCCTAACATCATGCGGGACAATTTTCTTAAAGCGTGTACGACATAGATTTTTCCACGTGTTTTTATATTAAAACCGTAATATCTAAACGAGCCTAATTACTTTAAAAGGATATGTAACATCGTATCTCTATGTATGTTATGTATATTTCTTTTTTTTTCTTTTTTCTTTTTTATCCGTATAAATGGGCGCGTCACTCTTCAGTCGATATTAAAAAAGAAAAAAGAAAAAAAAGAAAGAAAAAAAAAAGAAAATAAATAAATTCGAAGCAATAATTGTTTTTCAGATCGTAAAAAAAAAAAGAGTTTATAGATTTGTAGTTTCATAATTTGAAAAAGACGAAAAAAAAAAAAGAAAGAAAAATTAGTCCTTAAAAGATGTCGAAACAAAAAAAGTGATCGATTTTATTTTCCTTTTTTTTTTTTTTTTTCTTTTTTTTGCAGATCACCTAGTAACTATTATCGCGTAATATTTTTTGCATTTTATAAAATGAGATATTTTTAACGAGTCGAATTCTGTATATCTTGAGATTTTTCGAAGAATCTCAGGAGATTTCTTTCTTTATCCCAAGGAGTCGATAAAGGGGGCCATTGAGAATATCTCAGACTCTGTCTTCGAAGAAAGGCGAGAAGGAACATCTCCTTTCCGTTGCAATCTTCTATTCTCTGGGGAGACTGTAAATCGCGTTTTATTGTATATATCCTCGGATCTTGAGTTTCCTCGAAATCCGAATGGCTTTGTATTACGAACGAGAAAGGGGAAGATGAATTTCTTTTTTTTTTTTTTTTTTTTTTTTTTTTTCTCTTTTTTTTTCTCTTTTTTCTTCTTCCTCTTTCCTGAATCAAATGCTCCAAATAAAAATATAAATTGCTCCTTAACAATTTTTATTTTTTACTTAGGAATTATTACATACAAAATTATTAAATAAAAAAAAATATATATATATAATGTAACATATAATATATAAATTAATAACGTAATATATATATATATATATATAATTTAATATAGATATAAATTATTAGGTATATAATTATTACATAAAAAAAAAAAAAAAGAAAAAATAATAATATCTGTTATTGTTACATATGATAGTTACATATAAATTTAATTACATATTACAATATAACATATTCTACATAAATTATATAAAAAAGAAATACTATTACGAAGTATGAATATATTGTAACTTTTAATCAAAGGAAGGATACATGTTTCTCACGAATTCAATTAAAAGTATTGCTCACGTGCCTGGAATGTAAGCGACGCGGTAAAATGAAAGAAGTTCTTCATTCTCGAAAGAAAGTTGGTAAATGGTGGGTGGAAGTATTACCGTAGAAATAGGGAAGCTTTTCCCTTCATTCAGGGCCATATATTTTGAAGGATGACGACGTTTAATGGCTAGCGAACAAGCGTTGCTCGATAACAATGATTGTTGGGACTTCGTTGACCTCTTTTAAAGCGTTAGAGATCCCCAGAGTCTCTTTTCTACTATTCTTCACGGTAAACTATATCCATCAATAATGAAAACTTTTATAAGCCATAACTTCTATAAACCATAAGAAATTCGTCAATAGTAATGATTAAAAAAAAAAAAAAAAAAAAAAAAAAATTAATTAATTATCTCCGGATTAGAATTTATTTCTAATCCATTTGAAAACGTCAAATTGCAATTTTATTAATGAAATACTTACCTGTTAAAAAAGAATATATATATATATTTTGTAAGGACACATGAAATTACAATACAGGATCAAAAGTTCCTAATCACATTTTAATAATCAATTGCTCTATATATATATATATATATATATATATATATATTATCTTCATTTTCGAAACATTTTTTAAGACTAATTTCTTCTTTATTTTTTCTCCCCCCGCCCCGCCCGATTATAAAATTACAAAAGGTTAATCAAAAGTGTAAAAAAAAAAAAAAAAAAGAAAAAAAAAGAACAGAAAGAAAGAAAGAGAAAAGAAAAAGAAGAATAAAATAATTTGTCAGATAATAAAATAATTGATATTTAATATCGTTTAGGAACTTTTGATCCGTCCTGTAGTTAGTCCCTTTCTCTTTCGATAAGTTCTCGCAGCATCCTTTTGGTCCATAGTGGGAGGAGTAAGGGGAGGTACGAAAAAGTCTGTCTCGAGTGGCACGATAGAGAGAGCTTCTTATCTCTTTTTCTTATACTATATGCGTTAAAAGACACGAAGGGAATATGTGATAGGGTGTAATGAAGAGATAACAAAAGTGGTTCTTGATAACAAAGTTACTATTATTAATCAATTTGTATATGTATGTATGTATGTACGTACGTATGTATGTATATATGTATGTATATATGTGTGTATGTATGTGACGATAAAATACTCGGATATTCTTTTAGTTATTACTTATATGTTCTATATATAATACTATTTATATTCTATATGATAGTATATATGAACATACATATACACATACATACATGCTTCAATTAAAATAGTTTTTCTTTTTATATGTGTGTATGTATATCTATATATCTATATATATATATATATATGTGTATGTATATATATTTCAG